AGGTGTACAAGCTGACATATGTCTAACTGGCCTGCATAAGATAACGAGGGGAAAAAAACCCCCCACAGATTTTAAGACAGGATTTTCTTTTTTTAAATCGAAATTTTCTAAATTTTGGGACAATATCGTCTGATAAAGAGTACATTTATATACATTTTTAAGCCAGAATGATTTGACATTTAAAATATAATTTCCCTACGAGTCTAAAGTTGAACACATGTGTGACTCTACCTGCTGCGTTTCTACAGAGCTGTAACTAGGAAGCTAATCTCAACCACAACAGTTGGGATTTTCACATGATATCAGAGCAGAAGCTTGTATTGTCCTTTTTATGTCAGACAGAGATATGTGCCAATCTCTGGCTTATATATAATGTAGGATGTTATGATGATTACTATGTGATGAGAAAATAAGATCAAACATTTTCTGGTTAGAGGGAAGCTTGGAGATCCAACATATTGGAACCATCAGTTTTAACTACCAGGTTGGCAACATAAGCTGTGAACAATGACTTTTATTTATAATTTCTTGCACCGCTATTATTTTCTGTGTGTTATTCATAAGCATGTGTTAAAATTAGGGCAAATATGCATGTTGAACATCAACTTAAAGTATTAGACCGATTTTTATGAATTACTCTGTTAAAAATGGACAGGTTTCATGCAGGGTTACAGAAGCAACACAATATACTTAAAACATTTTAAGCAACGCTGTTCAATCTCGGACCTTCAAACAGGTAAAGTAAGAAGAACAAAAGCAAACCCACCAAGATGCGACTGCCTACCTAAACTGACAGACCAGAGGAGATCGTTGTAGAGATCCAGAACATAGGTGGGAAAGTCTGCTTGACAGAACAGCTTCATCAATCCGGTCTGAATGGAAAATTAACAAGAAAACTCTTGTTCAGAGAAAGTCATAAGAAATCTTTTTTCAGTTGCCCAGATTGCAATGTTGAAAGAAAAAGAATATTTAGCCTTACATGCAGACTAGCTATATGTTGGAAAATCAGTTAAAACACCGATGTCACAGTGAGATATGGAGGCATCATGCTGTGGGAATACATTTCTTCAGAAAGAACAAGGAAACTAGTCAGAGATTAAAGAAAAAAGGATGGGGATAAATACATGGAGACTCCAGAGGAAAAACTTGTTAGTAACACCAGAAAACTTGACATTAGATTGAGGTTCACCATCCAGGTGGACAACAACACAACATACCGGTACGCATGTGACAAAATACCCTGACATCATGATTGTTTTGGAACCATAGGAGTAAATAATTATATGCCTCACTTTCCTTATTTTGATTTATATCAAATTTGAAAAAACAATGCATCCTTTTCCTTCTTCCTTACATTTCTGTGCCTCTCCAGATTATCCATAACACAAAATCCCATAAAATATATAAAAAATAAAATATTGCAAAACGATGTGGAAATATCTAAAGGATCTCAATGTTTCCTCAAGGACTTACTAACTGAACATGGCCAAAAACAAAGCAGCTGATTTCCTAACAGGAGCCCTAATTATCCGGCCAGTTGGAGCAGGTGGGGTGCTTAACTCAACACATCAGCTGCATCCGTTTGCAAATTAGGTGCAATGAGACACAGACAGGCTCTGGAAGTGGATTCAACGTGTTACAGATTGGCAAAGCCGGCGCAACAGCATCTGGTATGCAGCGTGCGTCATCTCTGTCTCTGTACAGTCAGCCTCACACGTTCATGTTCTGCCAACCTCCCCACAGGGACAACTCCGACCACTCTAAAAGACATTGAGCGCAAATGTTGCCCATCATGAAACACAAATATCACTGCAGATCCCACTGACCCACATGATGAACTCATTTCACTGCCTGCATCTGGAAAGAGGTACGTCAGTTTCACACCTTTTCTTTTACTTTTATTCCCTTTCCAGAGGATTTTTTAAATCTGAAGTAACTGCAGTAATTTATGCAAGTATTTGATATAATTAATCCTTTATCCAATATTTATTTTTCTGTACTTGCTCAATCCATTTTACTGTCACTTATTTCCCCTGAGCTCTAACAGCCGCCTTGGAAACTTGCCAAATCAAGCTGTGCAAAATGTCAAACACATCTGTTAACAAAACAAACTTTGACGCTTTCTATTCAGCAACCAGCATTTTATCTCTCTCTTGTGAGGAATCCACACAGAGATAGGATTTCTGATCCCTGTAGGACGACTTGTAGCATAGGGGGGGAATCTTCAACGTCTAATTTCAGCTGTCCTACTTCTTGTACCGCTTCAGGGGAATCGGAGCTAAAATGTTACTTCTTCGATATTGACTTGTAACTTTGCTTCCAGGACCTCTTTGAAACTGTAATATAGGAGAACCCTTAGTTCTCATGAGTTCTACGTAAAAGCTTCCAGTCAATGCATGATCAGGGGAGAATTTATTAAAAATCTACAAAAAGGTGTGTATGATTTTGTATCCTTTGCACCAAAATCAAATGTACTTTATTTGAAGAATTCACCATAATAATTTTCTTTAAAGTAAATGTCAGTCAAGATATTTCAATTTACACTTTACTTAAAGTGGATTACACACTCTGGGATCTATTAATCATTTCTTGCTGTTTCCAGGTGTATAAATATGAAATGCCTTTGATGCTGATTTATTTAACCGCTCCTTAAAATGGCTAAGAGGATTTATCATTCCAGTGAAGCATACATGTGGCTTATAAAAAATGCCTACCGACTCCCGGCTGATTCAGAGGTAAGTGTGGAGTTAGTTTAAATTCTAATGAAACTTTAAGCAGTTTTTTAAGTGATGGACCAAACCTTCTCATATTCACTGTTAGATACAGCAGATAATCTGTGGTGCAGGTTTGCTTCTCTTCCAAAGGACCTTGTTGTATTATCTGGGATCATAGTCTTTCAGAAATACAAGAACATTTAGAAAAGAAGAATCTAAAGGCCTTCGCTAAAACAATTTCTCATGGTTTATTAGATCTCTCAGGACATTGGGCTTCATGCAACAAAATGTTCGTATTCTTGTCGTACATTTATCTTACTTTTTCTCCTATCGTGGGTTTTTAAGGATGTGCCACGCAAGCCTTGTAAACCTGATCCATTCCACCTGTGCATAAGTCAGTGTGCCTTAATGAGAAATGTAGCATAATTACTGTCCAAATATTGCCATATAAGGCCATGACTTCCTACGCTTGCTCATTCACAGAAATGGATTTTAAGACGAATGAAGAGAGACTTTACCAGTTTAGAGATCAAAGTTCTGCTGACTGAGAGCTGAGCAGCAGAATTGAAAGACCAGAGCTGGAAATGCTTTAATAATAACTTGATCCAAAAACTGTAATTGCAAACTACTGATGGAAGCAAGAAGTGCAACATATGATGTAAGTGCTTGATGAGCTCCGCATCAACCAACCAAACAACATTCTGTTAAATCTCTTAAGGTCAATAGACGTGCACATCTCCGGATCATGTCGGTTATCCCTGCATAACACCACCCTTTCTATCTCATACATAAACAGGAAAATGTTAACAGCAAATCTCTAATTTGACGAATTCAGACCCAAACACTCCATATTTAGTGTAATATAAAAGTGAATGCTGTGCCAGTTTGTGAACTCAATGCATTTCTTACTGTGAGAAGATTTTCAATAATCAACATGTTGCTGAATCTCCTTTCTAAACTTTTATCAATTTTCTGTTCCAGATGTTACTTCAATGGAAGCTTGATCTCACATAGAGCTCAATGACTGTTCTTCCTTTTGATGAATTGACAGCAAATTAATCCATCGTCCCCTTGATATCAACATGCCAGCTGCAGATGTAGTGACCGGTAGTTCGATCATGAGTGAATAAAAATGTACTTTATAGCTGCAGAGTTGCATAATATACAATGATGTAGCCTAATGAAACGGACAATTGCTTCTAAATATAACAAATGTTGGTCAGTCAAAACTAGGTTTGGATAAGCTGACTGATTGTCAAAGACTCCTACAGCAAGTCTGGAACACTCCTAAAGTATGTTTGTACCTGAGAAAAGATTAGAAATAGGAGACAAATAGTGAATGTGAAATTTTATCCTAGGTCAGCTGTGTGAGCAGTTTAAGAATTAATTTTTTTGTACAAGAGCTTCTTGAATAAGGCACAACGATTCAAAGCATTGAACAAAAATACAAACCGTCTGTGGAGATAAACTTGTCTCAGTTTTATTGATTCGAACAATCCCCATTGGTTAGTGAGTGCTAACCAATAGGGACACTTCTTACATCGTTGGTCTACAGGCCCCGCCCAGGATGATCATGTTCCTAGAGTTCAAACAGATACAGGGAGCATGAAAACAAAAGGTTTTTGACATTTGCAAATCAAAGTGAGTGCTTGCAAAAATAATTTGCAAATTGAGTCATTTAAATATGAAAAACATTTTTTTAACCAAAATATAATAATCCAATAAGAGATATTTAACTACAATACCCTGTAAGTGAGGCGTTAAAGTTATCTCTATTCAATTTAAATAAAAACTATGTGGCATCCTTTTGACACATGATACAAAGTATCAGCAGCAGGATTGCTGATACTTAANCGTTAAAGTTATCTCTATTCAATTTAAATAAAAACTATGTGGCATCCTTTTGACACATGATACAAAGTATCAGCAGCAGGATTGCTGATACTTAAAGTCAAGCCTCAACTCCTCCCCAAAGCCTCCCCATCCTGGATGGGGCCGCCTTTTACAGCTACTTTTTGTATCTCTGCTTCTGTCTCCTTAAACCCCAGGTGGCCTCGAAAGATGGCCGCCCACACTGATCCTGGTTCTGCTGAAGGTTTCTTCCTGTTAAAAGGGAGTTTTTCCTCTCCACTGTCGCTAAAATGGTGAACTGTAAAGTGCATTTAGATGATATGTGTTATAAATTGGCGCTATAGAAATAAACTGAATTTAATTGAACCAAAGGCTGGATTAATATTCTAATTCAATTAAAACAACGAGTGAGTAAACAACTGCAAAATTACACTAATTTATTTAAAGGCCTTTAACATTTTTTTTTACAAGTGATACAAAATTAGGCAGAACATCCAAATATTTAGATAACTAAACACATTTAATTCAAGACTTCATGAACAGCAAGAAGAGAGCTGCAGCTTCAGAGTCTGACAGCTTCTCCAGGAGCCTGTGAGTTAAGCTCAATCCGCTGTCCTTAGAAGATAAAGGTTTGTTAGGATTTCCAATCAAACACTCAGTTGCCTCAGTTGGAACATAATGTATTTTTAAAGACTTATAAAAAGAGTAAAAGCTTGTCAAATACTCATGTAAACTTAGGAATTACTGACTTCTTCAATCAACAATCCTCAGAACTCATTGGCAGCCTCTCAGTGCTTCCTTTAGTATTCAACAAACTGTAACATCTCTAAGCTGATGAACATAAACTGATATAAAGCTGAAAAATGTTTGATGTATCTGAAGAAAAGGTTCACAATAGGAATATAAAAGAAACAAACAAGGAATATAAAAAGCAAATTGGATCATCAGCATTTTCCCGTTTCAGAAATTCTTCCAAACTCTCTCCTGAAGTCAAAGCTAAGAAGCTGTACATCTCCTGGATATTTCACTGCGCATATATTAACAGCATCTCCTCATCAACAGTTTTCCCTCTGGCTGGTATTGACTCATTAATTCTCAGAGTCAAAAACATCTCTTAATGGTGAGAAGCTGACGCGATATTGCTCTAATCAGGCCCATCTTCCTTAGTACCTTCTTGCTTTCGCTAGTCAGCCACCAAAACCACCTTCTTCTCTGCTGCCACCTGAAAGTTCAGCGGTCAAACCTCCTCAGTCTCCTCCACCTGATCTCCTCAGCACTGGTCCCCTGAGAGACGTTAAACCCATAAGGAGGAGGACCTTCTCTCACGCCGGTTTGTCCTGAGAAAATATAAGAAATTACATCAGGGTACTTTTCTAACAGGTGCTCATTTAAAAGGGGGGGGAGTGTATGATTACTGACCTCTGTCATTCAGACTGTTTCTAATCGCTGCTTCTATCTGCTGCTCTTCTGTCAGCCCCCCTGTATATGATGCTGTATGATCTGTGTTTGGATGCGGTGGGTAATAAGAGTTCCCAGAGTATTGCTCATTACTGCCGCCATAACCTGCACACACACACACACACATTAATTAACATAACAAACTCAACTATTAACTATTTTTGTTTTTCATAAAAAAAAACCTGTTCTCTCTCCATGCAGTGAACAGAAACCCTTCCTAAATGCTCAGATACCTGAAGTGCCGGCAGAGCTGTAGTACGCACTGCGATGAGAGTTATATCCGTTAGACGTGACTAAATCTGTGGAAAAATATACAGAAAGAGGATAATTCAGTACAGCTTCATGATAATTATTCTTTCTTTTTTGGTCAATGGCTTAATAAGGCTGTAATTTATTATGCAATATAACTGAATGATCCAGTTATGACACTCAGAAAGCTAAAGCTGGGATGATGAGCTTTGCAGTGAAACACAAAACAATCAAGTCCCATAAAGAAGAACATTCTTTTGGAATATATTAAGGTTAGAAATATTCAATCCTTTTGTGTCTCAACAAAGATATGAACAATGTGGACAAACCGGCACATGAAAAAGTCAGACCTGCACATCTCTTCATGATGGTCTTCAGTGGTCCAGAGGTGTAGAGCAGACCAACCAGGATTCCTGCTAGGTGACCAACAAACGACGTCCTAAAGAAACAAGAACATGATTAATGATTACCACGATTTCTAATTGCTTGGATTAAAATTAAATGCTTGTTTTTCATTCCTGTGCTTTTAAAAACTTGACATTTTTCTAAGATTGTTTTAGGCTTTGCAACGTGTAGAAGGAAGAAAGATGAGTAGCCCTCTGCCACGGCTGAGTCATGCAAACTTCATTTTAATCAGGGTGTATGTCCTCTTCCATATGACTTGGTTTGTTTAGCTTTATACCATCTGGTTAGATTTCTGAGCCTATTGAGACAAATGAAAAACAACAACTTTATTTCAAAAGAAGCTGAAAATTATAGTAGATGATGTACGTGAACCATAGTGCTGCAGCGATTAGACGACGTAGTCGACATAAACAACCAATAAAGTTCATTGACAGTTTTTCTTTTGTCAGCCTATTTTATCGCCTATTTATTTTGGTCAACAAATTCCGCTCCACAGCACTAGTTTTGATGTTCGCACACTGCTGGCAAATTGGCTCCCCTTTCCTCTCCTGTCACGAGCTTCTGTTACTGCTGGTTCTGGTTTTGAGTGTGATAGGAAAATGACAGCGGCGGGTGAGTCTGAATCGAGGACGGAGCCATCTATGTGGAGAACCAAAAGTATCGAAACCCCTAGGATACTTTCGGGCACATGGTGAGAGTGGTATGTACACTCTGTAACGCTGCGTTCACAATGGAAGTCGTCGGTTGTGGGCATCAAAAATGCAGAAATTTGGATGCTGGATCAAACTGTGGTCAAATTGCTTTGAGGGTTCACGCTCTGGATGCTCTGCGCTCTGGTTGTTTATCTGCTCTGTTCTGTAGCTTTAAGCTAGAGAGCAGCTTGGCTTTATTTACTTTATGATTTGCAAAAATTGTTTTAAAGTCGTAGGGAAGCGGATGTTCCAACCGTTACATTTCTGAATTCTCCAGAGTGGTGCCCGACTTTACACGAGTGAATAAAGTGAATGTGATTGGTCGTTTATCAAGAGATTGTTATGATGGAAAGTTCGGAAGCAAGTTTGATTGTGGCCGGTTTGTCGGAATCATCTTGCTAACCAGTTAGCAACTTAGTGCTAGTAGGTTCCAAATGGGAAATTCCATCGGGACCAAATAGCACTAAATTGGTGACTTAGAAAAGACGCTGTCAAGGAACGCTATGGACAGCGGAAACATGCAAGAGGAGGAGAGTTTTGTGTCGAAGGTCGTGGATGAGTCTCCTCCGTCATACATTTTTTATTTAGAGGAGGAAAGCGGGACAATGATGTTGTGGAAGAGGACGCCAGGGCAGCAGAAGCTTGGTTTGGTGAAGAAGGCTTCCAGCCGTACATGTTTGAGCCCTTGCCTCGCAGCGCTGCCAGTTCTGTTAGCTCTACGCCTGCTGAAGACACAGACGTCCATCCCTGTGAACACTGGGACGGAATTCAATGGTAAAGTAAAGGATTCTTATTTCAACCATTGGGTATATTAGCTGCGACATATGAATGAAGATGCTATGACCGAAAAAAATTTGATTGACAGATGACTGTTGATAAATGATTGGCCGAATTTAGGTGTTCAAGCTGACGTATAACTAACTGGCCTGCATAAGATAACAAGGGGGAAAAAAACACTGATTTTATGACAAGATTTTTTTTTTTTATAGAAATTTTCTAAATGTTGGAACAATATTGTCTGATAAAGAGTACATTTATATACATGTTTAACCCAGAATTATTTGACATTTAAATATAACTTCATACTATGACTTTAACATGTTTTAAGCGGGAGAGTCCACCTCCAAGCATCCTCTATGCAGTCAGTTCATCAGGGTTACGATCCCACTAAAATATGCAGTTGTGGTTTGGAGTGCCAGACCTCCAGCATTCCGCTGGGAGGCAGTGCTGGGAATCCCCACTGGGAGCTCTCTCAGCGACCAGCCTGTGGGGAGTTTTCCACTGCTGTTTGTAGCGATTGCAGGAGAATATAAAGAGTTTAAGATTTGTTTTAAAAACTGCAAGTACCAGAAAATACGCTGGTGAAGATTCCCAGTCATCCAGGTCATAGTCATTCAAAAAAGAAAAAGATAACAAACCACTGGACTTTGTTTTCCAAGTTTGAAGCTTCCCATCAGGGAAGCTTTTTCAATTCAATCTATTATGCTTGGAACTCAACGCTAATTCAGACATTTTGAACTGAAAAAGCTTCCTGGATGGGAAGCGAAACATCTTCAAACTTGGAAAACAAAGTCCAAAGGTTGTTTATACAATCAAATATTTTTCATTGGCAGGTTTCTATATTTTTAGTTCATTATTCATAGATATTCAGAAACCTTTTCACTATAGTTCATAAAAAATGTTTTAGTGCAGCAATAATGCTCAGAGCTCCATTCTTCTGGCTTTTTTTGTAGCCTTTGGACTTTCACTTTCTTGATATTTATTTATTTTTCATATGCAGAATAAACACTGAACGCCGCTATACACGAGCATTTCTAGACTTTTTTGTGCTTTCGAGATGGCACTGGACTGAGAGAGAGGGTTTATCTTGTGAGCAGTTGAGTAAACACAAATGTAACCTTTTTGTTTATCTTGGCATCACCATCCCAGGGCTACTCTGCCAAGTGGGGATATTTTTGGAAATTATCTGATAAGTCAACTTAACTCAATTTGTTAGGTCAAGTTGTTAACTCAACTACTTGAACAATTTGTCAAAAGATTAGTCATTAGAACATTTTTCATTAGTTGCAGCTCTAGTGTTAAAGATCACAGTTAGAGCCGTAACCACAAATAAAGTGCTTTATAAATACAGATTAATCAACAGTCTCCTCTCTGCTTGTAAGATCAATCTAAATGTCTGGTACGTTGTTTCCATGGGTTATATTCTATAATTGGGCTCTGATATAATGTGATAAAAATCAAGTTTTCCAGTTATAATGCTGTACAGTAACTCTTCTCATTGTGATTTACAGCAAGAACGACAACTTTTGCATAAATCTCTCTTGTAGTAAGGTCTATGCTTATTTTAATATATGTACTAACACTGCTTAAAAAAGGATGTTAACTTCTCTTATCTAGAACTTAGGCCCAATCCGACTACACCCTAGCTGTACCCCTAATTTTTGTGCATTCCCGTGTAGGTAGTGGTGTTCCAATTCCTCTTTGTAACTAGGAGCCGTGGATATGAGATTGAGCAGGGGTAAAAATCTAGCCATTAAAAACGAGATATTTCAGATGCTGACTTGCAGAGGAAGGGCAAAAGACACATTTACAGACCAAATGGAAGACAGTGATTCTGCAGACCCATTCGCATCTTTTTAAGTTTTGTTTTTCGTTTTACATTTGAAAGCCAAACAAAGCTGTGGGGTCAGCTTTCTGGGTTTACCCGATTCACCCGGACATTCTCCCCTTATTTTGAATTGAAAAAGCTTCCTGGATGGGAAGCGAAACGTCTTCAATCTTGGAAAGAAAGTCCAATGGTTTGTTTTTTAACTTTTTTGGAATCTCCAAGACCACCAAGGTTAGGTGAGACGGTGTTATGGAGCTCAGACAGGAGGCAGCAGGAAATCATTACAAGAAAACCAGCAGAGAGAGCACCACAAACAGAGAGAGAGGCTGGCAGCCAGTCCCCTCAGCTAAGAAACCACAGCAGGAGATTAAGGGGAGCCAATCGGAGAAACCGCACAGCAGAGAACACATTCTGTGGATCTTCAAACAGCTAAAACAGCTTAACTTTTTGGGGGGTTATGAAGATATTGTGAATAGTTATAAATGGAAAAGGAGACAGAGTGCATAACTATCTCTGTTGCTTACTTTGGTGCATTCAGTGTTTTATCATTAGGTTCTGATTACCCAGGTTAATATAAATACCCCAGTGATTGTTAGCAACAACACAATGAAATTCTTCTTAATTTGTAAATATAGTACGGTGTTTAAAAGAAATCTAGTTAGCCTTTAGTAAATAAGAGTTAAACTGTGGGCTGTATTTGGGTTTTGGAAAAATTTAAATCGATTCAAATGTGCCAGATGCCTAACCTGGGCCGTTTTGTGGAGAGATTGCAGCTCAAAGTAGCTCTTTGGTCTTCTGACCTTAGACAGTTTTTGAATTTAGATTTTATAAAAAAGTTAAAATTTGTCAAAAGTTTCAGTTGTTTTTTCTTAGAAAACATGCAATGAATGAAAATGAATGAAAATGAAAATAGAAATTCCAATGATATCTTTTACATCTATTTTTTCCATCAGGTTGGCTATGTGAATTTTTTACTTAACTCTTTCTTTCTTTCTTTCTTTCTCTCTCTCTCTCTCTCTCTCTCTCTCTCTCTCTCTCTCTCTCTCTCTCTCTCTCTCTCTCTCTGGGTTGCAGACCACTCTATTAGATACAATGAAACACCTCCCTCTAGTGGATAAAATCTAGCAGAGCATTTAATAGAAATCATTTACTACTAATTCGTATTGCTTACTTTAAAAAGAATGCCATTTCGTAGAACAATCTAAGATGCTGTTTGAGTACAATGAAGACATTTGAATAACTTAAATAACCGAACATGTTTAATTTTGAATAAATGAAAGCTATATTAAACTGAGATGTGCTGAAGGAAAAGGGTTTCAAAGTAAGGATTAGTTCCCACAATGACCTCAAAGTAAGTAAATAAAATCTGCGACCTACGTTACATATTTATTTGAATTCTCACTAGAAAGAGAAAAAAATACTGGTGTTTATAAAAGAGTTTTAAAGTTTAGGCTAGATCGCAGACTGATTTTAAAACCGTTGCCTTTCTGTTTGTTGGAGAAATAAAAAGCTGATCTGCTCCATAGCTGATGTATAAGCTCTGCAAGGAGAAGTGCTTCTCACACCAAAGAGTAAAACTAAAGTTGAATTTATGAAAAAGGCTTTCTACACGATAAAGAAGGCTTTAGGAGTCTTCACACTGGTGTAACCGTAGAATTTCTGTAAGATGGACCAGAGTCCAGCTACATCTCTTTGAAAAGATTTTGCTAACTCACCCAGGGGAAGTTATATGGATAAGTACAAGCTCCACCCAGCTAGCATAGCGGTTAGACACTGGCAGACCCATCAGATAAGTCGCACCTCCTGGGTGGTAATGGTTATTGAGCACCTTGAGTGCAAACAAGACACCTGGAATTAAAAACAGTTCAAAACAAAAATTAAGAAATGTTCCTGTTGTATGCACATATTATTGATGTTTATATTCTCTAACAAGGTTAGAGAAGGATTAAGAGGAAACAAACAGATCTACATTTTTTTTTAGAAATCAGTAGCTTTCGTTTATACCTGAGAAGCCAACAGCACAGGCCATGCTGTACGACTGGTCATCAGTCAGTTCTGTTAGCAATGCCTCCAGCAGCAGGTAGACCAATCCGGTGAGCAAAGAAAAGACTGAGAGCACATAGAGGAACCAGGCTCCACCTAACCGACGCTCCAGCTTGGTCCCCTTCCATAGAAAGGATGCCATGTTGAAATACAGATGCCAGTCATCCACATGGTGGAACGGGGACAGAAGCAGCCGGCGCCAGTCGCTGAACCAGTACGCCTGCTGGACGCTCACACAAGTCTTAGACAAGGACACTATTTATTTAGAATCGTGTAAAATGAAGATAATTACTTCAGAGCAAAGGAGCAAATAGCAGGATGTTGTTGTTGACTGAAGCATAATGAAAAAATTAGAGGCAAAAATTATTGCTTTGGACTTGAATGAAATAAGTTTTGTAAAATTATTTACCTTTAAGAGAGGAGCTGCTGGGAAGAGGAAAAGGTATACGTTAAGACCCAGGATTGCGAGAGTGACGGGGGGAATGTTGTCCAGACCGATCTGGAATAACTGGGAGGCCAGCATCAGCAAGCCCAGGTGGGAACTCCTCTGTCTCCTGTACATCCTGAAACCTGACTGAAAGACAAAACAGCTTATCTTTATTTCTGATCTTTCCAGATTAAAATAATGGAGATGAATTTATAGCTTAACTTTCAAAGAAAAGCTATTACACACTGTTATCGCATGTGAATAGCACAAGAAAGAACCCACTTTTTCCACAGGAAAATACTAAATCCACCTGATGATGGGAAAATGAATGGGTTTCATCAGCCTTGAAACTGCTATGTGAATAAACAAAAAATTATTTAAAAAAAAGTGGAAGTTAACAGAGAATGAAAGTTTGTAAGAGCCATCTGAAGATTACCTCCTAGGCCAAATGTTAGAAAAATAAATAAATAAAATAAAAATAAATAGAAATAGGATAAATTGATAAATAAATAAATAGAACTAAACTTGGACACTGAATAAAAAACCATCCTACAAAAAAGACAAGCAGTAGGATGATCAAATCTAAGTTTGGGATACGAATAAATAAGAAGTTAAAACGTAACATAGTTACTGTAGCGCAAAATCGGTTCAGGCTGTTCATTTATAGGAGACTAGCAGCCTTAGGTTGCTCTATATTTGTGTCGGCATGATAATTTCCTGTTTTTTTCCTGTCTGTTTTCAAATAAATAGGGGAGAAACGCATAATTAAACCATTGAATTCCAGACGATTGGCAAATATTGACAAATAATTTACTATAAATGCGTTAACCGTATATGAATTTTTTAAAATTTTTTATTCAATCCAAAAAATAACTAAAATTGTTTTAGTTGTACTTACTAAGAGTTCAGATCTTCCTCCTTCCTCAGAGCCGTTTCGGCTAATGCTAACACTAAAGTTCCTCTCCTGGTTAAAAATGCCACTAAGCCGAATATAGGGAGAGCTAATTTAACACCAAACCAAAGTTACAGTAATAAACCCCTCAAACACACGTCGGCAAAACTTATTTCTCTGGGTTTCATCATTACTTTCTAGCACTTACTAGCAAAGACCCGAGATAGGTACATGCTAATCACGTGACAATAACAAACCTTCCCATTGGCGGAGCCTCACTGCGTGATGATGACGCGGGTGTCAGCTAAACACAAATACGTATAAAAACTGTGAGCAAAGAAGATTTAGTATTAGGCACGCGGTAGATATTAATTTAGCACAGTTACATTTAGACAGTTATTATCAATATATTCAAATTTATATAGATGCATAAAAAATAACAAGGAAAATAGGAATAGCTTTTGTGATACCAGAATTCAATATAAAAATAGAAAAAGGAAGTTCAGATGAATTATTAGAAATAAATGTTGGTAATATTATTAGCTTAACAATAGGTAGAAGACATAAAACCATAAAAAACAGTAATTTGTTCAGATTCAAGTTCTTCATTATTAAGTTTAAAATATAATCAATCAGATAGTAGGATGGACACTATTAGAAATATTTCATACATTATTCAGAGTAAAAATATTGGTGTTATGGTGTATTTGTGTGGATTCCAGCACATATTGGAGTAGAAGGAAATGAGAGGGCAGATGAAATGGCAAAGAGGGCAATTTAAGATCCTATTAGTTCAGTTAAATCAAATAAATCGGAGGGAAAGAGTTTTATTAAAGAAAAATTGATGGAGAAATGGCACAAAAAAAAGGCAGGATGAAGGAAAAACAGGAAGATGGTTTTATAAAATTCAGAAGATAGTAGGAAAAAGAAGAAATGGAAAATGAAATAGAAAGGAGGAGAGAGTGATAACAAGGTTAAGATTTGGGCATACAGGACTTAATTTTACACTTTTCAAAATTCAAAAGCATACTACTGGCAAATATGATTACTATGAAAAATATGAAACAGTAGAACATGTTATACTGGAATGTCATAAATATGAAAGCAAGAAGATATATGAGGAGAGAGTTTGAATGTATTAAGGAACAGATTAATTTATTAGATATTTTGAGGAAGAATTTGGGGAGTAGGCATATACAAATAATTATTTGATTTTTAAAGAAAATGAAATTATTTCATAGAATTTGATTATAGAGAGGGTGAATGTGTGTATGATATAGACGGGTAGAATACAAAATTATGTATAAGTATGTTTTTTTTTTTTTTCTTAAGAATTACATATATGTTTACTAGTAGCTACTCCATCATGAACCACACTCCATACCAGCAAGTGGCAGTATTGCTAATAAATGTTTGTTGCCAATCGGCAAAAAATCCAAGAAGAATAAGAAAACGATGAGCTGTTTATGAAGGGTTCCCGAAACATTTCCATGCCGCTGCCCACTTAACAGATTTATATAGATATTAGCTTAGTTTGCTATATTTATTTCATATGCAAAATACGATAAGGTATCTCGCAACTGGCCCACCTTTACAGGTACTTGCCCCTGCACCATCTGTGGGCCAGTGGCATCGCACTCTCTCTCTCTCTCCTTCCCTCAAGTCACCATTAGGTCTCTGTGACTGGAATAGGAGTTGGGTAACTTCAGCAGGTTGTCAAATGGGCACCCCCCTTCACTGGTCTTTCATTGATTTAAGGTCCATGACACCTCGGAGGGGCTCAACGGTAGATCCAGCATCCTGGACCCACCCCCACTGAATGCCACCCAACTCTGTCTTCAGTTCTTCGTTCACTCAGTGCTTCGGTTCTGCCAGCATACCTCGCGCTGCATCCAAATCCATGCCTCCTCCGCCCGCTTGGTGGCGTTGGCTGCAAGCCGCTTCCTGGCCAGCCCTTCAATTCCCAGCAGTTCAAGGGCTCTCCAAAGCGACCGTCCAGCAAAGCCTCTGCAGCCCACCTCCACTGGGAGATTCCAGGTCTTACATCAATTTTGCTGGCTCTCTAGGATGAGGGCTTGGTATTTATTGAGCTTACGCTCATAGGCCTCCTCCATCCTCTCTTCCCAGGGGATAGTCAGCTCGATGAGCACCACCTGTTTGGTACCTTTAGACCACAGAGCAATGTCTGGTCTCAGGCTAGTGTGGGCTATCTCCGCAGGGAATTTTAGCTGCTTCTTTAGGTCTGCCCGCATCCCCCAGTCATTTGCCGTGGCCAGGACCCCCTTGCTCCTCCCTCCAACTACTCCACTTTCTCCTGCCCTGGTAAAATGTCCCTTTGGACAGCTGTCTTGCCCTTTTACTTGCCTGCTCGATGCCATCGGCCAACTGGGCAAGGATCTGTTCATGACGCCACCGGAACTTGCCATCTGCTAAGCTTGAATGACATGAAGAGAGGACGTGCTCAAGGTTAGCCATCCTTCTGCAGAGCTTGCAGCTTAGGCTCTCGACCATTCCCCAGGTGTGGAGGTTTGAGGGAGTAGGTAGGACGTCATAAACAGAGCATAAAAGGAACTTGATGCGGTGGCCTTCCATGCTCCAGCTGTCCTGCCAAGTTAGAGCCCTCTCTCTCATACTCTCCCATCTAGTCCAGCTGCCTTGTTTGTTCACGGCTACAGCCTTGACATACCAGCTTGCCTCCTCCACCTTTCTGACTTCTTTCTGCACTAAGCCTCACCTCTCATTTAGGTCCACTTTGTTCCAGCTTGTTCTGGTGGAGCAACCCAAACCAAGCCTTCCCTGGGCTACCGACCCGACAATGTCTGCGTGATGCATTCTGTCCTGTGCCTCCTTTAATGCTCTGCTGGCTGACCACTTTCGGCCTGTCCAGACGACGATGTCTGCCTGAGGCACTCTCTCGTCTTTACTGGCCTGGTGTGTTTTTGTTGCATTGTACTCTTCCACCACATTCAATTATAATAAATTGTGTTTACCGTAAAATATTACGTATATATTTTTTCAACACTATTTAATTTCCCATTTAGTAGCCTACTGTAGCAACATGTCAACAGCCAATTAGAGATAAGAACAAAATAAATATACAAAAATATAATAAAAATAAAACTATTTTTATATCCCCATAGTTTTTCATAATTAGACATGGAAAATGGCCTATACTTAAGGGCTTCAGCGGCTTTACATTGCATTCAGTTAACCACTCATTCATGCACACATTCACACCCTGATGGTGGCGAACTACACTGTAGCCTAATAATAGTGAAACTCTTGAACATATGTTTTACCTGTGTCCTCCTGCACATCGCTTCTGTAAAGAAATGAAAAATTATATTTCTTTGAAAATAAATGATGTTCCCCCATATGCCCTAAATTATGTCATTTTTTCAATGGACCATCTTCCCCAGCCTGTATCTAATATTATCAATCTCCTCCTGCTGTTGGGTAAATATCATATCCACTGTGCTAGATAGATAAATGCTAAACCTTCCTTTCATTGGTTTATTCATGACTTTAAAACCTTTTTTTCTTCTCTGAAAAAGGTTTTTTAAAAAAGGCAAATATGCCAAAAGAATTAGTCTTGAATATTCCCAACATCTGCTAATATATTTGCATCCACCTTTTCTGTTTTTCATATTCCTATGGCTCTTTCTATGTTTGATTTAAATGTTTGGTGAGATAAATCCCCTGCTATTTGCTTTACGTTGTTTTTATTTATTTTTTTAATTGTAATTAATCTTCATCCGTTCATGTACATGTTTGCCATCCTCTCTGAGAGTATTGTTTTCATGTAAAAAAAAAAAAAAAAAAGACTGACTGACAGAAGTTAGGCTGCTGTACACAGGCACCCACCAACTTCTAATTGCCTTGTCACATACTTTACAAATACCAAGAAATTTGTTCTTGAGGGGGCAAGAGGAAGAAAATGTTTGTTTTGCCTATAGCAATTTATACTTTAGAAGAAGCAATGTTGCTATTCATAGGAAGACCCGTCTTCTGTAACTTATACATCACACCCACAAAAGTAAACAACAGTAACACAACAGCTGAGGAGGCATTTTTCAGATTGATGGGGAGGTGGAGATGTGAAACGGAACACTTTGTATTGATTAGAAGACATATCCTTCAAATCTATATATTTTCTCACCACCTCTGCCGGCCTATCCTCAGACTCTCAGTGGGAGATGTCCAACCAGAAAACAAAAAGGGAGAAATCATCTCAGGTTTTTCTACTTAACCAGATTCAAACAATATTGGAAATTAACCTCAGTAGTGTTGTATCATCCAATTCTGAATTAATTCTCATATTAATTCTTTAAAAAAGTATTAATTTACCAAAGGTTGGTTTTCAAAAATTGCATTTCACTATCCTTACAGCTGATATTACCAACCAACACTATATTCATTTGGTTTTGAATTTCAATACAATACTAGAATCAATTTGTTCTAAGCTACACAGTCATGCAGTTCAGATACCAGCTAAAAACATTTATATTTAATACCAGCAGTTCAGTTTGAGATTACGTATTGAAGCAGTGGATAACTGATCATCAAAAGAGTGAGCAACTCCATGAAACATAACAATTTACAAGGTTATTTTTGAGGGGTGTACTGCTTGCTGTGTAGTTGTTGGATCAAAACCATAATTTCTGGGTGTGAATTAGGTTCAGCTTTAATCAGGTACAGCTATAGGAAACCTTTAAGAGCAGTAAAACCGTATGTGCCTGTATCAGATGCATTATGATGTCCAAAAGAATGGTGATGTGTGAAAAAAATAGGATCCAGATGTCATTAGGTAAGGTTAAAACATTTCCCATTGATTAACACAGTTGTAAAAAATCATCAGACCTTTGAAATATAGTTAAAATCAACTGGGCTAACATGATTATAAGGGATTAGATTATTAATGACCCCCGCTTTCAGACACTTAGATGGGTGTGTTGTGGGCTAACAAAAGAAGCCAAACGTCCCCCATTCTAAAGGGTGGGACCCCTTCATCTGTTCCAATTTGAATCTTTTCAAAACAAAAACAAGGCTTTGTTGAGCTACTGTCACGGTCTTGGTTCTGCTATGTCTTACTTTGCTCCATATTTTCTAGTTTTATTGGTTTAATTCCTATTTCGTTGTTTTCTGGATATATTTGAGTTCTTAGGGTTTTATTTATTGCCCTCTGTTGCCCTCTTG